GGATTGACTCTAATTTACTCATTTTACTTACCTTTTTCACTTTAAGAGTTAAATTCTATTAATTTGTCTTCCTTTCACTAAACCCCTATATTGTAAAAAAAGCTTTTTACAATTTAGGGGATGAGCCACTTGAAAATCAAAATGGAGATGACCAAAACTAAAGTGGCAAAGAGAACTTACTTGTGAAAAGTCATGTGCTGTGAAGACTCTTAATTAGAATGAAAAAACGAATAACTTACTCAATGTTAAAAGACCAAATGCATTTAAATCAAACTAAGAAACATTGGGCGCACATCTTTAGAATTCTATTCCTAACAGCATTTGATTTGAAATGATTCTTCATCTTTACTTCCCTAACAAACATAACATGAGCAATTTATGGTTTTCTTATGCCAAGACACCACCCTCATTTTTCAATTCGCAGATATCTTCCCCATTTTACCTAAGTAATTCTTCTTCTCTCTTCACCTCCTTTCCACCAAAAGATCTTCGAATTCAGATTAAAGTTTAAATCACCTTTTTGAGCATTAAAAAAGAAAAATAAAAAATATAGTGCTAGTTTAGTTTAAAGTTAGATAGAATTAATTTTAAGTGCTTGTTACACTATCCAAACTTGAAAAGATATTCTCTACTTTTTTAGATTAATGGTTATAATTTCTCTAATATCTGATAAATTAGAGGATATTAACGTCTTTTTTAATTAAATTATTAACCCTACTATTCATTAATATAAAATTAACAGTAAAGATTATTTTATGTTTTATGTATAAAAAAGAATACCAAATCCTCTTAACTATAAGGGGTCTAGGAGATTTTACCTTAATTTTAATGAAAATAATATTAAGTCATTAAATATAATTAAGGTGCATTCATAAATTAATTTGAATCACATTTTTATAAGGATGTGAGTTTTTTTATTCAACAGTGTAAGAACACACAGAGGTTAGAATTTAATATTATCACAAATTATCAAGATAAAACTAAATTAAAAAATAGTACCAAAACACCTTAAAAAACTATACATAAGTTTTCTCCCTTAAAAAATTTGTTTGAATGAAGTGATCACCATGTTAATCCCAATGATCTTGCTTTTTTAGTAGTTCCTCTTTAGGTCAGGAATTAATCCAAAGCTTCTTAAAGTTGATTTGAACACCCACGCATTCTTCTCATTTCCCTTATCAATTTATCCTGTATTATAATCATATTGTAAATAAGAGATTTGACTCTTCTAATGTAAAAAAAAAAAAGTTGTAAAGTGGGAAAGTAAACTTTTTATTTACTTTTGATTTACAAGTTATTTTGATATTATAAATGCCTAAGTTCAAATTAGTGGTATATGCTATTTTTTTTCTTCACACTTCTCCTAACTTCAGAGGACTTAAATCTCCAATGTAATATTGCATTGCTTGAGAACTTTTAACTTGAAAGTTGAACTTTTCTAATGGGGCTCCCATTAACTAGGATAAAAATAATCCCGACACTGCATTACACCCCAGAACAAAAGACATATTTTAGGGAAAAATTTAAACATAGATATATCATGATCTTTTACTCCCTCATACGAGGATACAAACTTTTGATCATAACCTTCCCTAATCTACAAGGATTTAGCTTGGATTAGAGCCATGATGTGTTCCAGGTCAACACAACATTGAAGAGAAAATTATGCCTGGATAATTACAAACTCCATAATCCATATAACACATACAAATTGAGTTTCAAATTTTCCTATGCTTCTTTTTAGCCAAACCATTATGCACTAGCAAGTGTACTTTCCGTTCCTTAGGTAAAGCTAATTATTAACTTAACCATTTAACACTTTTGCCAAATTTTATAACACGTAGAAATGAGGAAAGGAGTTTTGAACAGTTTCTTCCTCATAAATTAATGCAGAGAACATAGCACAAGATATCGTTAGATGATAAAATACCTCTAATGAGCAGATTTATCCTAGTTGGAGTTATACCTAGTAAAGCTTTTCTAGCAAAAGTCTCCTAAAAGGTGGCTTTGAGAGAGCTAAACATGTCTATAAACCTTTATTGACTAGCTTTACATAAGACGGAAAAACATTGAGGTCCAAACTGATTTTTCAAACAATTAATGTATCCAAACTTGGAGGAGTCAAGGGACCAAACTCGTTCATTCACCTTATTTTTAATTATATGCACGCAAGAAAGCATATTCTGTAGCTCTAACACTCCTCCTGGATTAATAGTTTTCTTCTTCATTTAAACAATTACATCCACTTATCATCAATCCACCCTCCAATGTCAGCAACCAAATAACTTTTAGACTCATATATTGTACACCTACAAAAGAGATCCCTTAAACTTACTCCTCCAATTTATACATCCTCTCAAAATTTTGTTAAACTTCTGTATCTGAACTTTTTCTTTGTGCCAGCATAGAACCGATTTGAAGTCTTCTTAAAAACACCAATTTTACATATATCCTTTCACCATGAGGATGCATCCTTAAAATTCCCCCCACATGAGCAAAGCACTTATTACTACGATTCCCCTTGCATCTAACATTCAATACACAATACCATGAAATTTCCTTCTCCTATGTATTCTCGATGTTCATTTTTCTTGCCAACACATTAAACTATTCAAGGTTTCTTTACAAAGCTTCCCTCACTTCTTGGCTTACACACAAGTCCCAATTCACCCAAAATTTTTCTTTTATTGTTACTACTTTTCATATATTAATTGTGTGGTTGATAAAAAAAATTATATTAAAAGAGTTATTTGTAACAACAAAGTATTTATTAACCTTAAAAAAAATTATTGAATTGCAGTATGACTCACTATCCTATCTAGTTGGATTAATGTTAAATTTTAGAAGGATTACATGAAAAAAAAAAGTAAAAAAGTAGTATAAATAAAAGTGTTAAAATAAATGTAAAGTCATACAAGAAAAGATAGAAAAAAAATTGTATTTGATGAGAGATTGAAATAACGTCTATAGAGAGAGAGATTATAAAAGTTGATTAAGGTGGTTTGAGCTTGTGTAAGAAAGTTACCAAAAGCATGAAATGAAAAATGTTGATTGTATTGGATTTAGCCTAATAAAAAAATGTAGAGGGTGAAAAAAAAAACTGAAGTGACATTATTAAAAAGGATCTCATAATATATAATATTTTTGAGAATTAATTTTTGATCAAATTTAATAACGTCACACAATTTATATAATTAATCTCATCTAGTAAAATAAAAATTTGTTATTGTTGTATTATTACTTTTTATATATATATATATATATATATATATATATATATATATATTGGTTTGAATTCAAATTTTAAAACTCCCGTAGTTGTCTGAAAAAATAATAATAAATTATAGACTAAATTAATTAATTGATTCCTTAATTCTTAGTTTTGTTTCGATTTGGTTATTTAACTTCTTTTATTTATTTTTATTTTAATCCTTTAATATACAAAAGTGTTAAGTCTATTAAAAAATTAATGTTTATATTCCACTTTTGAACTTCGGTGAAAACACAGAATATATGTTCCAGCGAATTTTTTGAATATTTTTTTTTTCTTTCTTGCTTCTCTTTTATGGTTTGCTTTAAGAATTTGGTTAGGACTTACATGAACTAGATATTAATAATGCAAATGCAAGTTGGTGGCCAACATTCTTCATTCTAAGTGATCTTACCTCAATATTTACTACACTGATATAGATAGTTTAGGTTCATCATTTAGCAATGAATTTTAGACAATACTCTTTAGGTGGGTATGTCTCAAATGTGCTTTCCATATATGAAGAAGTTGTTATCTAAGTAAGAGGATCTAGAGTACAAAAAAGATGAAAAATACATAAGGTAGAGGAAGGACTTATTTGATTGGGTTATTGACCCTAAAATCACAAGCCAAAAAAGGAGATTGAGAAGAGAAATAAAGATCCCAAACTAAGAAATAGGTGTGCTACCAAAATTTTACTATACAAATTATTTATAGATAGGTCTCGATGTGAATAAGAAGTAAGAGAATGAAGAAAAAATAAATAAAAAATGAGACGATCAAAAAATTTACTTAAATATATCATGTTTTTCTTGAGTTCATAAAGAAAATAAAAATAAATAGTAATTTTTAATGAAATTAACATTTTTTATGAAAAAAAAAAAACTTATTTAAAACATTTTTTAAGTCAAGAGATTGCAATGAAAAAAGGTTAGATGAGTAAACTAAAACAAAACCTAGAATTAAAGAATGAATCTACTAATTTAGCTTAAATTAGATGACTTAAATTAATCTCTCAAAGTGCGTGAACAACCGGCTGATGTGTCTCCAATTTCTTGAATTAGCCTCTGTTGGGAAGGTTAAATTCTAGTAAAAGGAGGCAATAAAGAAAACTGAAAAGTATTATTGGATAATAATATAACATCAGAGGTACACGAAAGAGTCCTATTTGAGCTTTTACATATTGTTTATCGACCTTCTTATGTAGAGCTCTTGATACACCAGCTAATAAAATCATCAAAAACTTGTCTAATAGAGTGAAATTAATTAAAATGAATTGATGCAACTTGTGGCCTATTAGGCGGGATGAGGACACATAATGAATATGAAAAGTCTAGGGCTTAATTTCATGTATCAAGGATTGGCTTGTTATAAGAAAGATCTCTATGGGATACTTCAACCATTTTGTTGATAATGGGCTAGGTTTTTGGCTAGGGAGAGGCTGAATATCATGGGGTGAAAATGTCAAACAACACTCAATAATTTGAAAAAAAAAAATCTAGGTTCTGTTAGTCTTAGAAAATGTTTTTTTATTGGTTTTCTATTTATACTTCTAATCATAAAATAACTACTTTTTTTTTTTTATCGTTAAAGACTTTCATATTTATTTTTTGTTTCTTATACAAATTTTTTAAAATAATGTAACATTTTTATAATTAATATATATATATATATATTTTAGTTATTAACAGTTGAATATTATGATGGATCAGCTGACTGTAGTAAATTAGTAATGTGTTTCATGAAACAGCATGCAGGAGACAATTGAACGCTACCGCAGGCATAACAGGAGTGCTCAAACAATACACAGATCAGATGAACAAAATATGCAGGTTATTATATTTATACCTCCTATTTTTTTCCTTACCCAAAAACATCCGTTTTTTCTCTCCTAGTTTCATTGGATAGCCTTCCTATTCATCATCTAATTATTTAAATGCTGTTAGAATATCCTAAATATAATCACGATATTATAACAAACCTCTAGATACTCTAACTATGATCACACACCAGCAAATGAAAATGCCTATTTATGCTTTTTCTTTCCTTATAATGGTGTTTTGTTATCCAAGTTTTCATTTTTGGGAAGAAAACAAAATGCATGTTCTTCTTATTGTTCCTTTCAAGACTCAAGTCCGAACTAAATAACTATTGTTCATTTCCGTGATTGATTATTTAACTAGCTTTATAATTGCTTTTGATTCCAAATAAAAAGCTTGTCGATTAGTGAAAAATGGGTTACTAGGACAAAAAATTGGTGACTGAGTAAATATAAAGGTAAACACACATAATGTATTAATTTCAATTCGATTAAAGTAAAACTTTGATTTGAAACTAAGATTCTGTTAAGGAATATGTGTTATGCGGAAGAACAACATCAAAATTAATTGAAGAATTATGAGAAAAAAAATGAAATAATAGTAATATAATTTTATTAAGAAAAGAATACAAAAATTTTCTTATAATAATAAAATATAAAAAAAAAGAAATAAAGATGGACAATAAATTGATAATAAAAAAATTAATAATTAATTTCTATTTATGTAATATATAAATAGATTAAAACAAATAAATTAATTAAATGTTAATAAGAAACTAAAATTAATACCATTAAACTAATGGTAGAAAATAAGGTGAAATTTCAGTTATCCACTTAACAATTTCTATTTTGACTAGAATTCAATTAGATGTTTATCACCATGTCTTTAAACATTGTAGAATTTGACCAATATTGAAACTTGACATTTGGAAGAGCTTCAATAAGAATCAATGTTATTAAAAAATGGTTATGACGGTGCCATGGTAGAATGGCATGGTAGTTTTGAGAGATCCCGTTATAGGAATGGTGTGGCGTAACAGATTTTCGTGGCGATGTATAATGGTGGCTATGGCAAAAATGACAGAAATATGATATTTTTTGAAAAAAAAAAAAGGGTTGTTATTTGCAAGTTTGGGCCAACAACCCGACCTGGTCCAGACAACCTAACATTAAAGTTAAGTTTTTTTCCTCTCCTCCCCACGATCTCACTCTCTCTCTTCTTTTTGCTGATCTCTCTTTTTACGATCTGTTGATCTCTCTTGCTCTACTGAGATCTCTTTCTCTTCTGTTCTGCTGGGCTGTTTGGGTTTCTGTTATGAGGAAAGGAAGAAACATTTTTCTATTTTTTTAAAACACACTGTTTTGATTATTTTAAAGGTAGAAAGGTCATTTACCTTTGATAAAATATATATTTCCTCTTTGCATGAAAAGTTGAAACCTTAATTATAACTTTCTCCCATTCTCACTGACTCACTCACTCCATCTCACTGGAAAAATCAGTTTTTTTGGCGTTTCCTCTGCTTTTCTGTTCATTGGAGAAATCAGCTTTTTTGGCATCTATTTTGCTTTTCTATTTGAGCTTTATTTTACTATTTACTGATTATTCTTGCTTTTTTGTTCAAGATTTATTTTGCTATTCAAGCTCTGTTTAGCATTTTTTGTTAAATATGACATCTATGCTGCAGTATTTTTCTCTTTTTCACTGTTATTAGGAATGATGATGATGCAATCTTCAGAATTGCTTGAGCATTTATATTAAATTTTTGTGACCTATAATATTTTTTATATATTTTATTATATTTATCATATATCCGACATCACCCGCCATGGCAACTGCCAAAACTTTATGGCAGTTTTTTTTGGTTTCTGCCATGAGCTGCCATTTGTCATTGATAACATTGGTAAGAATATATGTTAGATTCTTGTATGTGTGTATCTTTTTCACTACAACTTTTCAACACTAACAATATCTTGGATAAAGTGATATTTTACATCAATGTGTTTGGTCTTATCATGATAACGATTATTCTTGATCAAATCTTATACTATCACAATACCCTGACCATCAATCGCAAAACACAAGAATCTTATGCTAGATCAAGTTCATTAACCAAACATCGAAATCAAAGAGCCTCTTTTACACACTCTTTTGCGACAATATATTATGCTTCTTTTGTAAATAATGGCCAATTGACTAAAATGTCACTTTCCAACTAATAGCACCATTGCAGAGAGTATAGATATAAATAGAAAGAGATCTTCTTTAGTCAATATCACCACCATAGTCTGAATTAACAAAACCTACATCATTGGTTGTAGTCTTGCTTCTGTCAAACACCAACCTAATATCAGAAGTACCTTTTCAATATCAAAAAATCTATTTGACTATATTCCAATGAACCTTGTTAGGATTATGCATATGTTGACTAAACATGCTAATAACATATGATAAATCAGGTCTAATGCACATCATTGCATTCAAAAGGCTACCAATTGCACTAGTATAAGGAATGTGTGACATATGCTCCATTGCTCCTTCTCTTTATCTTTTTGTGGGCAAAGATCTGAAGTTAACTTGAACTTTTCTTTACAGTTTCTCATATTAAAATTTTCAAGTACTCTTTTAATACATTTCTTTTGTGATAGGAATAATTTTTTTACTTGGTAATCTCTATGAATCTCCATATCAAGGATTTTCTTAGATACGCCTAATTTCTTCATATCAAACTCATTACTAAGTTAAGTTTTCAACTTCTCGATCAATAATGACTTGTCACATAATGCAATCAACATAAAATAATAAGTATATAAAAGATTTATTTAAAATTTTTTTGAAATAGACACAATAATCAAATTGACTTCGAGAATAACCTTGTCTAATCATAAAGGAATCAAATTTCTTTTACCATTGTCGAGAAACTTGTTCAAGAGAGTATAAATATTTATTTAATCAACAAACTAAATGCTCCTTACCAGGAACAACAAATTCCTTGGGCTACTTCATATAGATTTCTTCTTCAAACTCTATATGTATAAAAATTATCTTAACATTAAGTTGTTCTAATTTCAAGTAAAATAAAGTAATAAAAGAAAGCAAAAAGCAGAAAGAGGTATGACGAATAACACATAAGAAAATCTCATTAAAGCTATTATTTTCCTTTTGGCTAAAGCCTTTCATAACTAATTGTACTTTGCATCTAAGATCTTTAACCTCATGCATGCCTTCTTTTCTTTTATAGACCTATTTACATCTCAATGGCTTATTGCCTTTAAGAAGCTCTGTCAAAAAACCAAGTACTGTTCTTATGAAAACTCTCAATTTTTTCATTCACAACTACTAGTCATTTTGAAGAACCAGCACAAGAAATAGCTTTAGTATAGTTGCTTGGATCAACACCATAATGCATAAGCAGTTTAATTATTATCAATATATCTAGTTGGTCTCTTAATTTGTCTTCTTAATCTATCTTGGACAATAGTATATTCTTCTTGCGGTTGAATAAGAGAATTGACAATTTCACCATAATTATCACTACGAATATCAATGCTAGACTCATTAATAAAAGTATATAAAACATCAATATTAGGAACTCCATACTTCAAATCTAACACTACCTTGTCCCTAGTACATTGCAAATTACCTGTACTAGTAGAAGAAGTAATGGAAGATTGTTATCTAGAAGTGAATAATGCATTTCATTAAAAGTCACATTTCTACTAAAGATTAATTTTTGTGACTTAGGATCAAAATAACATAAATGATATCATTTAGACTTAGATGTATAACCAAGAACTATGTATTTAACAACTCTCAGAGCTAATTTACCATCATTGACATGTGCATATAGAACTTCCAAAAATTCTCAAATTGGCATAATCAACAGGATTAACTAAATTTCTTCTTTAACTTTGAAATTAAGTAACGTGTGTAGAGAATGATTGACTAAATAACAAGTAATAGATTCTACCTCAATCCAAATTAACGTTGATGCCATATCCTAATGTTTGAGAGCATACAACAAACTCTTTCAAGTAGAGTCTTGATTATACGTTTAGTAACACCATTTTGTTGCAGTTTACATGGAATGGTTTTTTGTTTAAAAATACCATGCTCTATACAGAACGCATTGAAGTTACTTTTACAAAATTCTAAGTCATTATCTATTTTAAGTTTTTAAGCCTTTTTTCATGTTTGGACTTTAACAAGAGTTTTTCAGTTTTTAAAATTGAAAAATGTCTCATTTTTATACTTTAGAAAGTAAACCTAAACCTTACGAGAAAAATCATTAATAATAGTTATCATGTAGTAACGTCCTCCATGAGAGGAAACTTTTGAAGGATTTCAAAGATCAGAGTAAATATAATCAAGAATATCTTTTGTACGATGAGTTGCCATAGAGAAATTGGTTCTTTTATACTTTCCAAAAATGAAATATTTCAACTTACTAATGTCATGTTTACCAAGATAACCTTACTTACTTAGGGGATGCATGTCTTTTTTCACTCACATGACATAAGCACATGTGCCATAATTTAGTGACGTCTTAATCAAACAATGAATAAGATATAGTTGTTAAACCTGTCACAATAGAATCTTGCAAGATATACAAGCTACCAATGTGGTTAGTTTCATTCAAGAATGTCAAGGGATATTAAGTTATATTTGAAGTTAGAAACATAATAAAGTTTAGTCAAAGTCTGTATAATATCATTATGAGACTTGATTTGGATTGTACTAATTCCAACAAGAGTGTTGCCAAGACTTGAATCCAAATGCTTCTTTTGCAGTTTTTTTATTGTCTGTCTAAGAACACATGATAAGAATTTTTAACTTATATAATAATTTTTTATTAAAAATCATAAGATCAATGCATTGATAATTTTAAAATGCTCTAATTTAAAAAAAAAAGTTAATTAATGATTTATTACGGTGTTTTTTTTTTTCAGGTCTTCTCCCTATTTTTCTTTAATAAATGAACTCTCCGTTATCACCATGATGCACCTAATTAATGTCAAGAAAATGACTTAAAAACCGTAGTCACTTATTGACTTCTCCATATCTTCTCTTTGTGGAGTTTTTCATTGTTTCTGCAAACAGTTTCTCTACTGCCCCGGTAACAGTTGGATTAGGGCTCAAGTGATAAATTAATTTTTACATTTAAATGGATCCATTAGTTTTCAATTTTGTTATATGTTAAATACTTTACTTCAATAGTTTTTGTGTATTAACTTCTGTTGACCAAAATAATGTTGTTTCACATTCTTCTTCCTCTGCCAAATGAAACTACTTGTTGTTGTTGTTTAGCTGGTGACAAACTCTTAGTTGGAATGTTAATAGTCTTCATAGCAGCCAACCTCTTTACCAATGTCACTTACGTACCACCCCCTCTAGCCACCCTTGCCGCCACTAGCGACCCCATCCTATTGCCGTCAACATTGGCATCCAATACGATAACAAAGAAGCAGCCTTCGACAAAGGTGGAGTCTATTCCATTATAGCCTCTTTTCTTTCTCTAGTGAACTAAGCTCCATGTACCATGACATCACCTTACCATAGGTTTATCAACAAATAAGACTTACGGAAAAACACGAAAGAAGGAAAAAAAAGATAACGGTGACAAATAGCTAAGGTTGTCGTAGTAAGTTTAGTAACAATGACGTCTAGAAATATTATGGGTGGAGTGGAGAGGAAACCTTGGAGATGGTAGAAATTAGATTAGTTTCAGTGTGAAATAACTTTATTTTGGCATTGCAGATGTCATTTAACAGTAAAAATTAATACCATTATAATAGAAATTAGTAATTAAATTGAAGTGTTCAACGTACGTTTGATAAAGTTAAAAATTAACTTGTGTATTAAAAAAATTTAAGAACTAATTTACTCAGCGCCTATAATCTTAAAATCTGAAGAAATAATTTAATAGTTTATTCAATTAAGTTTGGATCATGGTTTTGATTAAGAACCAAACTAAATGTTTTTTTTCTTTCTTTCTTTGACTGATCTATGAACTTTAAGCAATGTCTAAAATCTATATAGTGCTCTAGGTATATGCATAAGGGTGGTAGTACCCTTATACCCTCTATGATTATTAGTTTATTTGGCTGATAAAAAAATCAACAAAATTTACAGAAATCCTCCTGATTGAATTTGACCTTCTAAATTCATTTCACAACTTCTTTATCATTTATTAATTCTCTTTACGAGCTCCACAGTTCTGATCCTTGTCAATCATTGCTGTTTCACCTTATTTTTTTGAATTGGTTTTTTTAATACGTAGGAGGACGTACTGGAAAAATATTAAATAGTTTATATTAAATGTTTTTTTAAATTATTATAAAATAAAATAAAATAAAATAAAATAAAATATTATATTTTTATACAATAATTTTTTTAATAAAAAAATATGCTTTTATCTTCTTACCACATATATCCATATGTACACGTTAGGAAACACATTTTTTAAATAACTCGACCTCCTTAGTTTTATTGGAGTGTTCAGACAGATGAGGATGGAAAATTCCTCGTTTAAGTTGGCTATTTTTAATATGAGTTGGCTTAAATTGAACTTTATTCTCATTGCTCTTTTTCTGTAATTTTTGTTATCCTCCTAATTTCGTTTTTCATACTCGTCAAACAAAACCTTTATGATTGTAATACTTCCACTGTTCAAAATCTTTAATATACAACCTATAGCTTCTCAACATTTAAAATTTTTACCATACCTAACAAGAAAAGATGTTGAGAATGCCAAACTACTAAGCATGTGCTGAGAACTAAATTAGCACGTTGATTAATTATAAAAGGTTTTCGTAGAACTATTTATAAATCCTGAAAATTCTATATTCTAAAAGCCTCCTAATGCCTTAAACATTTCCAGCTTATACATGTTAGAGATATGAACATGAGTGAGAATTGGTTAATTGGCATTCCATTGATCTCTACTTGCTTACTGTATTCTCTTATCATAGACACTCATTCAACTTGGAATCCTGAAGACTGAATGAAATTCCTTAATATATGACAGCATTTGAAGCAAGAAACAGCAAACTTGATGAAGAAGATTGAGCTTCTTGAAGCTTCAAAACGGTTCAACATCTTGAATTCATATCCATCTTCATAAATTGTTTGTACAATGTTAGATTTCACTCACAACAAAAAGAATATACTGCATGTTACTATTCATCCCTCAGGAAACTCTTGGGAGAGGGTTTAGGATCATGCTCCTTAGAAGAACTGCAACAGATAGAAGAACAGTTGGAAAGGAGTGTAAGCAGTGTTCGTGCAAGAAAGGTTAGCTTAACAAACGTATAGAATTTTTTACTCAATATTTTTAATTTGATTAATATTGAACCCAATATTTTTATTATTCAGAATCAGGTTTACAAGGATCAAATTGAGCAACTAAAGGAAAAGGTAAGCTGTCCGTACATAGTTGAGGTGTTGAACTTGAATTTGTGAAGTTCATCTTGCATTTGATTTTGTAAAATGCCAACATGATATGAAACTGGAATTCACAATCAATCTTTTGAAATTTGACTGTTGTAAGAGCACATTATTTGATTCCAGGTTGATGTGGTCCAATGAGTCTCATATAGTGCACATTTAGTTTAGCACCCCTAAAGTAAGGAGTTATAATTTATAATTGAAAAATTAGTTTTAAGATTTACGCTACTGCATAATATTTTATATATGTATATATATTTAACCATGATTTCAACAGTTGATTTTCACTTAATGGTAATAATTCTTCATTTTACTTTCAGTAGTGAATAATGTACCACTTAGAAGAGTCAAATTTGTATACTCTACCTTTTCTAAACCCTTCCATATTAGGTCTGTGGACCTTACATTTAACAAAAAAAATGAAACTGCAAAAAAGAGGAGAAAAACAAACTTAGAAAATTAATGCTACTTGCTTGTACGTCAAATTTCGACTGGGGACAAAGTGCATAGGTGTCTGTTTCTCAATAAAATTGATTTAATTTGAACTGTTTGAGTCAAATTTAGATGAAGACCCTACAGAGCTGTGACTAATAAATATCTGAAATTGTTGTGTGATCAGCATCGTTCCTTACTTGAGTTTGTGTTTGGATTTACTTTTGCATTCTGAGTTCATGATACAGGATCCACAGAAAGATGCCTCAGTTTATTTTTTTAGTAAAGAAATTGAAGGTTCCTTTTTCCATTCAAAACGTTGAAAAGAAAAAAAAAATCTCAGCTAGGATTACATTAAAGAGATGCTAACTACTGTGTTTTGAATACAATTCAGGAAAAAACCCTACTTGCTGAAAATGCCAAGCTCTCTGAACAGGTGAAATTACACTTGTTACCACTGTCTAGAATTTATTTTGCAGATGTTTATTGAACACTTCATTTTAGATTTTGAGAATGCTAGCAACATACTGTCACTTTCTTTTCATCACAATTTTCGTTGTTGAGTTAAATTCATGTAAGTTTCTCTAAATAATAAGGAAATTTATTATGTAAAGAGTGATCCACATCATTTATTGAGACCTACATGAATTTCATCCAAGAATAAGAACCTTATTGAAAGAAGTATATGAAAAAGTGCATTAGTAACAAATATTTTTTTTGTAAGAGTTTAAAAAACACTTGAATTAGGCTGAAAACCTAACAAATAGTAACTGAAATTGGCATGCAGTATGGTATCCCGCCACAGCCAGCAACATGGGATCAAAGAGAAAATCAACCCTATGCAGAAAGCAGCCCAAGTTCAGATGTGGAGACTGAATTGTTCATTGGACTACCCAGATCTGGTTGAACATAATTTAATCCTTGTCTGTGCAAGTATGAAATAAGGGGAAGCCCAATTGTCACCAATGTATTATATAACATATGATTCCTAATGCTATGAGATGAATAATATTGACCCTTATAAAGAACCTTCTAACTGTATGATTATGGTTTAATTTAATATGTATGTACCTTTTCTTATTCCTGTCCTCTATTTGTCAGTACGTAGTAGAATTTTTGGCTTGTTATGGCTAATGGAGCTAACAAATGGATCCTTTAGTGTTTAATTAACATAACCTTCTCTGTTAATCAAAATAGTAATTTAAAGAAAATTTATGAAATTTAATAAAATAAGAGCGACAAAAATGCAATCAATATCTCCTAGATTTAATACAAAAATGTTGGATATTATTAAGTTTATTTATAGATTAATCTGAAGGCTTTACACACAGGAGAGTCATTTCGAAGGGAAATTGGCTCACAAAATTTGATAGACATAGAAAATGGATGAGGCCACTGGCACCTGTAGTTACTTATTCGTATATACTTTTGGATAACAATTTATAATTTTTTTATAATTATTCTAACCCAAGCAATTGCTATTTCTCTATTCATACTCCTAATAAATTAATCTTAATTACTGGTCTTTTTCTTTTATCTTAACAGCACATATATCAATAAAGTAAATTTCATTTAAATTTTTATTAATAATTAATAAAATCAAATTCACAAATCGGATGAGTGGCATTGTGGGATAATTAATTGTATTCATCGAATAACTACATTTATATTGTGCTATATAATCGAATTTTATATCATTAAATTTATTGCATTTTTTTTATTAGTGTGAGAATAGTTATATTCGCTGCTTCAGAGTCAAATTTAAAACTTGTACAATATCTAGATAATCGTTTAAAAAAGTAGTCCAAAATTTAAAAATAAAAAAGTAACAAGTGAGAGATTATCTGCATATATATAATAAAAAAGCAACATTAACAACACATTTTTTTAACATACGTTTTTTAGCATGTTATTAACTAAAATTTATTAAAAATTATTAAATTAAAAATAAAAAAGAATGATATTCACGTGATTATTAATAATTAGAATATATTATAGCGTATTTTGTTAACATTTCTGTTTCAGTATTTACTAAAAAGTATATTTTTTAGGAAAATTTAATTGGCAAATGAAAGTTATCCCATTTCAAAATTAGGACATGGCACAGGCTTCAAACTATAACATGAATTGAATCTAATACCTTTCAGTTGACCAATTTAGCTGCCAAATTGAGAAATGTTTCTTCTTATCTATCAGTTGAAATATGAGAACATAACTCTGAGAACCGTATTCTTTGTGGGGAGTGAAGGAATGGCCCCTCTCCCTGTCACTGTGACAGCACCACAAGCATTTGCAAAATCAAGAGCCTCCCTCAACCTTTTCTCATCCTGAAAGTGCCAAAGAAAGGAACACATAGCTTCAATTTCTCCCTCTGTCAATCACATTGGATCATAAATAACAATTGGGATAAGAAAGGTTAGAAACAAATTAAGGTTATATCAAGTGAATATCTTGACATGAAATTCTCCAAACCAAAGGTAAATGCATCAATATATATATTCCTCATGTGAAGCAACAATGTCTTTCTTGCTGGCCTATTACTCGTAAATGAATATCAAGCTTGGGCTAAAACAATACTTATTGGAGTAACAAATTATAAGATTAATGGAAGTTTAAAAGAATGAAAACGTGATAATCCCTTAAGGCCATTTTATCAGACACAAATTATCAAGATCATTAAAAGTAGTTATATATTATAAATTTATAGTGTATTTTAAAAATTTATATAATAATAAATGGTTAAATTAGTTATCCATATATTAAATGAAAGAATATTTAATAATTAGTATTTTTAAAAATCAGTCTTTATTTCTTATATATTTATGTCAAATAATTGTTTGTTATAATAAAGGACAAGAGGGGGGGAGGGAGTAATATTATAAATTTTAATTTGTAAATATTTCACTCTTATAATAATAATAATAAAGAAACAAATTTTTGGGCTGCCAATACCCTTTTTCTTTTAGAATAACCAACCATATATATTTTGACTACCCCAAAAGTTTTAAAAATCCTTTGGGGTAGACATGATGATCCCCAAATATAATGCACTCCATTCTTAAACTCAAGAATAAAGTTTCTTAAGTTTTTTTTTTTTTAAACAACATAATGAAAAATTATTATTTTAATGTGTCCAAAGCATAGAATAAGAATTTATGATTAGTAAATTTTTAATAAAATTTAAATGATATTACAAAATTCAATATATTAATAAAACAAATGAAATGTAAAATACTAATTGTCACCTTATAAATGTATTTGTGTGCAGCCACAATGCTCAAAAATCCACCTAGGAAGGAATCACCTGCTCCAGTTGTATCAATTGCTTCCACCACAAAACCAGCAACCCAACCTTTGAAGTCCTGTGCAACAGTGAGGAAAATCCTCATTTAATGCATTTAATTAGCCCCAATAAAATTTATTATGAGTGTAGGACAACATTAATTATAGATCAAACCTTTGTATAGTATCTACAGCCCCGTGCACCCTCAGTGACCAGCAAAAGTTTGAGATTATTATGGAACAGCTTCTTCATTATCATTATGTCGTCATAAGGATCATCACCTTCGCACAATATTCGAATTTCATCCACACTTACCTGTGCTTCAAAACAGACAGTATTTAGATAGAGTTAGTACCCATTTTCACCACTAAACCACAGGTAATCAATTTGGTCCTCCAATGAAAAATACATGAAAATGAAAATAGTCCTTCAATGTTGAATTGGTTCTTCAATTTCAGTTTTTGACATCAAATGGTTCCTTTAAGAGATGACGCTGAGGAACTTTTTTAAAAAAATACTTAGGATAGAACATTGCATCTTACACCACCTTTTATGTTTTGCTAATCGCACCACTCATTTTTTAATTTCAAAATGTATTAAAATCACTTCCAAAAAATTAATATTCTAGAAATGATTTACAAATTACTTATAATATTTTAATTCTGAAGTATATTAAACAGTAGCAAAATAAAATTTTATCAAAATAAGGTGGGTAGTGTGACTAACAAAAAAGACAGTGTTACTCCTATTAAGAGTGTATCAGAAAGAGTGTTACTCATATTTCTCATGTCTATAAACACACACTCAAAACATTTACCTTAATAATATCGGCAAACTTCCAAATATTCAAGATGCCTTCCCTAGCAGCTTGTGCTGATGACCACAGAGGCAATGCCAAATTTGGAGAATAAGAAAGGACACAACCAGACATTTTTGCAACATTCATTGCAGCAAGGTGAGCTGACCTGCAAGGCTCCTTAATCAAGCTAACTGAACCATAATGAAATATTGTGGCCTGCACAACATAACATTAATGAAACCAAAAAAACTAAAATATTGAGTTCTGTCAATTAAGGAGATATGGTTTTAGATTAAGATTAAAATGTACTATTTACTTCTGAAATCAATATTTTATTTGATAATTTATTTCAATCATTAATTTATGAAAATGAAATCGTCGATATATACTTTTTGCATCAATTGGCATTGCTATTACCTTCTTTACGAGGTTCACATCAATTTCTTCTGGATAAAGGAGCATATCAGCACTTGGGTTTCGGTAAAACATGAATTCAGGTTCTCCATCACTTTTAAGAGAATAAAATGCCAAAGCTGTCCTTGCATGAGCATCAAAGAGCAGGCCAGAATTGTCAACACCGTTTTGTTTCAGAATATCAGATAACATATGGCCAAATTCATCATTCCCCACCTTCCATGCAAATATTAGAGACACTGTGGTCAGACAAATTGATTCAGGTGGATTTGAAAAAAATAAAGAAATAAATAAACATTCACTTATAATTAATGTTTCATATACACATCGAATTTTGTTTCACTTAAGATGATAATGCTCAGTTCATAACACATACTATACAAAGCATTGAATTTGGATCCTTTCATGTTGATAAGTGACATGGTATGATCATGTTGGAGAGAGAAAGCCACAATCTTAATTAAATAAAGACCCACCTTATTGGTTGTAGGTCTCACTAATTAAAATTTATAAAAATTGTATCTTTCTCTCTCTATGGTCATAATATTAATCAAAAACATGAGAGGATCCAAATCCCAAAGCGTTAGCTCCTAAAATTGACATGACAGACATGAATCATAAAATTTGGCTAGTGTTATGTTGTATTCTATTAGAAATACTCTTGAATGATCAGGTGACCAGACTCTGAAATAACAAAATGTTCTGATTGAGATGAAGCTATCAAGAAAATATATCCCTTTTAATAGACAGGATCAATTTCTTTTGATGCATTAGACAAAGGATCAAATTGTTTTGATGTATTAGACTGATTACAGACATTTGATGCAAAATGCAAAGTTACCAGTACCACCAATCTGATTCTGCTTAAGCATTCTTGCAAACGGTAATAATAATAATAATAATGATGATTTTTTAACCATTACAATATTGCATATAATAAAAATGGATATATGCAATTTTTTTATTAAAAATTATAGGAGTTAATGCAATTCAATTCATTAATGCTATTAAATGCCACAAATTTCAAAACACAAAAAAATTACTATCTATTAGATTCTTATCATGTGCAGAATTAGAAAATTCATAATAATATTAATCCTGAAAAAAAAAACCTGGCAAAATATATAGTGAGAGCACAGTGCTAATATAATATTCTGAATGAATTTCACCTTGCCAATGAAAGTAGCTGAGCCTCCTAATCTAGAAATTCCAACAGCAACATTGGCAGTAGCTCCAGCAGGGGATTTCTTATAAGCAGCCGCATCTGCAAGGGACACTCCTTCTACTGAGGGAACTAATTTCATCATCATCTCCCCAAAACAAACAACCATAGGTCCTTTATGAATCTCCCTTCTCGAACGTTTATATGAACCTACAAATAAGAACTACTGTTAAACTCGTTATGAAATTGGACAGATTCAGTAGTTCATGTTGTTTAACTACAACCAATTTAGCATCTAATGAATTTCCTTAAAACAGAATTTTTTTTTAAGCTTAACATCTTATATCTCTAAAATTCAAGATTTTGTCCAAGAAAAATGATTGAAAATATGGGAATGCTGAAAGGTATTACGCATAGACATGTTCAAGACAAATATAAAATCAGATGATTGAACTCAACCTCCAGCTATATTCGAGTTTTTTGTCACCAAAATTGCAATTTTGTGTTGAGAATTGAGGGAGAAAAACCACGAACACCCCTATTCACGTAGTTCGAGATCTTTTTTTCGGTTGAAAATTATAAAAATGTCTTGAAGGGTTTTGTATATCTTGAAATTTGGAACCCAATGGCCAAAAACTACTCAAAATGGAAGTGAGATGAGTTGACTCTTTTAAAATATAGAAATGTGCAAAATAAGAAAATAATGGTGCATATGTCATTAATTTTAAGTATGCTAAATTTATTAGGTAATTCAATTAAAAAAATAAAAAAATACCCTCTTATTTTCTTATTTCACATTCTCATTTTTAGATGAATTAAAGTTAAAAATAGGCTAAATCATAGTTAATTGGGTAAAGAAGATAAGCTCTTATCCACACACAAGTACTCGTAGTTTTCTATAGTCCAAGAGTATATATGATTCTTCTTTCATGAACATTTAGATTGTCTTTGCCACATTTAGAATACAAGGTTTTTGTAGTGATGAAAAAAGATAATATTTTGTGCATTTAAGAATTCGAAACAGTCTCTTTTCTCATCTCACGCCCATTAATTATTCGTGATCGCTTGTTTTCAACCCAAATAAACCAATCAAAAACCCAAAATGTTCATAATTAACGTAAAAATATTAAAAACACACACACACACACATTGGTATGAATGAAACCAAAGAGAATCAAAAGCAATACCGAAAGAAGTACTTCTAACAAGCTTGAAGCTACCCTTGCGGGCCACAGGGAAGCAACAGCCTGCCATTTTTGGGTTTGTAGAAACCCTTTGGAGAGCTATGAGAAATTCACCATGGACATGGAGGATTTAACAAGTTCATAATTGGTGTGGTTCATCGTTGTTAAATAAATTACAGGAGTAAGCGAAAATGGGCATGTGTTCATACTAATCATTGTTACTATTTTTTACCATTCCTCCGATTTCGTGGGCAATCTCAAATCTTTGTCTTAAATTTGATTACGTTTTTACTATTAATATGATTGATTCTCATTTGATCATTTTGTTCCGAATCTAACAATGTCACGTATCTATTGTTTTCCAACTTCCGTAACATAAAAAAGTGCCGTGGCAATGCCAAGTCGGATACAAATTGGCAATTCAAATTTATGTTTTTTATACTTATTGCTTACCAGATATTTTGTGTACTCTGAAACCAAAAATCTTTTAAAAGTCTTCTCTCAATAACTATTTTAATTTTTATGCCATCTATTAAAAAAAACTGTTTTTATGGCATCACTTTAAGAAATTATTTTCTCACGAGAAAAAATTATCTCCCACCAAGAAAATTCACAATTATTTAATTTTTTATGAACTTACATGGGTTTCATCTAAGATGTTTATCTTTAATTACATCTATAAGTTTAAGTTACTTAAAACCAGTTTAGATAAATTTATTGAGAATTTGTTATAGAAAAAAATTAATATAAAAATAAATATTTTTTTATAAATTAAAAATAATTTATTTCTTTAAAATTTAAAGAAGTTAAATTAAATAATTTTTTAGAACTTTTCAAAAATTAGACAAGTATAAGTTATTTTTAAATTACAGGAGAAGTTTTATTATTTTTAATACAATTATTTTCTTGTAAATATTTTTTTTAAAAATTTTGCCCAAATTAAGCCTAAGTTCGTGACAACAATGTGATGCAAATAATAGACTTACGTGAGTTGAGTTCAAAAGATAGAGTTATTTAAGTGTCTAAAATAATGATTTAAAATAACAACTCAAGTCTAATTTATGCGAATACGAAGTTTATGCAAGTTGATTCATGTAATAATAATACAAATATTTTATGCAAGCCAACCGATTTTGAATCCATTTTTTTATATGAATTTTCTTCAGTTAAGCTTAAAAAGTTTAAATTAATTTAGACGTTGATTCATAATAAATTGCCACGTCTCCATCCCCTCTCCAAATCTCCAATGACCAACATGGGTAATAACTTCAATATTATTATATAATACTTTACCAGTTAAATACTTATAAACCCATGTAGACGAACTTATTACTCACATTTTGATTAATTTGAACATAGTCTTTTATCATGGATTGTTTGATAAATCAATAAAATATGAATATTATGAATATCAATGATAAAAAAAATCTAATAAAAAAGAATATTGAAAGCCGGTAAAATATGCAATTTAATTAAAGAAAATATTCAAAGATAACATCCATATCCATACATATATTGACAAAATTGTATGAGTAATTAGCAATAATTAGACTCGTTTGATAGATAAAACTACCTTTATGCATTGTAAGCAATTTTTATAAGTATTCATTAGATATAGATCCGATTGTCATTCCTAATTTCATCGTCAATTAAAAATTTGATCCAAGCCAAGCTGACTTGAATCGAACCAGGTAACTGTTTTGATAACTCTAATCTGGCAATTCTAATCATATAATTCATCTTTGAAAGGTTTATTTGAGCGGGAGAAAATTATTGTAAATATTTACTAATTTAGTTTAGATAAATTTAAACCTGTGAAAGTAAGATTTATGTCATGATTTGATTTTAATAAATAATTTGGTTAGGGAAACTAAAGAAAAATTGACAAACATTATAATTTTCAGAATGCTTTATGATTATTATTTACTTTCATTAGTGTAAATTTTATCTCAATACATAGTAGGATTAACAAAGCATCTGATTTTAAATAAGCCTTTTAAAATAAGATTTTAAGATTTGACGAGGAGTGTTAAAAATATACTATCTATTTTTTTTAACATATTTCTAATTAATGAATAAATTTTATCAAAAATTAAAAATATAAAAAAATCAATAAATTAGAAGTGAGAAAAAATAAAATGTATATGATTTTTGTAGTTTTTAATAAATTTTGATCATGTGTTTAAAAAAATATATGTTGTTAACATTTCTCTAAGAGTCTTGTTACTAAAAAATATCCATCAATTTAAGTCACTAAATGTGTTTAATTCTAAATAATGATCCTAAAATCAAACGAGAAAATGCACAGCTTAAAACAATATTTCAATGCTTCAAAGAGTAAAATAGTAAGACATATTCTATATCTGGATCCCATTATAGACAATGTTATAGAAGTCTGCTAACATCCCACACAGATCAGAAAGCATACATTTTTGTGTTAATAACAGTAATTAAGAATCCAAATTTAAAAAGCATATAGACAACAAATTCATGTACTCCAGTACTAAGTGAATCAAATAATCCATCCTTGGATAAAGTTAGTCTCATCAGCCATGTTCCTTGGAACATTAGATGGCTCAGCTTGAGAGTACCTGCAAGAAAAAAAAGTGAGTTTATCAAAGTTTCTGACCCTTCTTTTTTGTGCTTTACAATGCCTTTTTTTGGAGATACTGATCTGCCATTTGACACTTCAAATAGAAATTTGACCAAATGATTCAGGATATTTATTTTACATCTTTCTATGATCACAGAATTAAACCTGTACCTAACCTGCACATCTTCTACCTTCACATATACTTGTACCAGCCATATACATATATAGCACCACCTTTCTGAATCATTGATTAGACCATGATTATATGGTTCTTGAACTATTAATTATTTATTGGAGTTACATGTATAATTAAAACTTCGGCTGAATAATAATATATAGAAACTATCTTGTATTACGCTGAAACTTCTTCAAACACAGACCATATAATCATGATCTAATTAATGTGATATATAACATAAGACAGAGGGAAATTTGGAATACCCTATTTGCAAGAAAGATTCAGCTTGGAAATCCATGGGATTGATTTGAGAATGCAGAAAGGGAAAGCTGCCATCTTCAGAAGCAACAGAGGTAGAGCTCCACAGACTTTCAATTGCTTTAAGATTAAATCCATCTTCTTCAAGCTGAAAAATGAGGTTTCAAAGCATGATATATAATACTAAATCAATTGAAATGCGGGTCTGGAATATTGTATAGTTTACAAAATGCAAAACCTTTAGTCTAAGTTGCTTATTTATGTCTCCAAGATGGCGTTCCTGCAAGATGAATGAGATCAGCAACATCTAGTAAATAGAAGGATTCAAAATGATGAGCAAATAGAACCTAAGTCAATAATTTACCCTAAAAATTATTCCAATTGAATATAAAAAAAAAATTACAAGAGTAAAATGATGATGAAAATGAAACCTTTATCCAAAGCTCTTCCATTTGTTCAATCATAATTTGTGTCTGCAAAAGTAACAGACTTTCACGCATTGTCATCTAATACCCATGTTTCATTATATCAGCTGTAGTACAATAATCTTAAATAGCTTGAAACCAATAATATGTCACATATACAACAACCTTCATTCGGAAAACTTAAAATAAAGAGCTTTAAACAAAGATTTTGTGCAGAAAATTTCTTACTAACATTATCACTTCTCACTTATTTATTGCCATTGTCTCTCAAATTCAAGTCTCGAGTTTCAATCAATAGAGCCATTAATCACTTCTCGCATATGGCGATGGCAATGAAGTGAGATGATCGAAAATTCAGATTGATAGACACCCATGTATATAAATCATTTGAAAAACTTTGTACTAAGTAGATATTTTTCGTATTTCTAGCTATATTTTTTTATAAATTTTAATTGTTTTTGTAACAAAATGAGAGATTTCCTCATCCTCTCATCTTTCTCGATCTTGAAGATTAGAACCATAGAAATGAACAGAGGATTTTTACATTTAAGCGTACCTTCCTCTGCCGAGCTTGTGATAAAGCCCCTTCAAGTTGCTTCTCAATATTTTGCAGCTCTTTTATGTTCAGGGGTCCAAGATCTTCCCCAAGCAAATGCCTGAAATGACATCACATGCCAAAGAAAATGCTACATGCTGTGATTATAATATCCTATTCTCCAATCCTACGACTTTAAGTATCGAAGCATTTTATTCTGCTTAATGTAGGATTCATAACAAAATGTTGGTGCGTGAGATTGTTAGAAAGAACAATTATATAGAAAGAGCATAATTTATAACCTTTGTGTCATTTGAAGAGACTCGTATTTTGCCTTGAGCATTGACACTTCTTGGTACCAGCTCTGATTGCCAAAATAGAAATTCATAAAAATTATTGTTATACAAGATTGAGCTAATTATAGTGATTTGTATTATGAGGTATATATATTAAAATTAAGAATGAAATAAAGAATTGTACAGCATTACCTAATAAATTAAAGACATGAAAATGTTTCTGTGTGATCCTTTAGAAAAGAATGTAATTATTTTTATATGAAAATTTGTAATAATTGTTAAAGGGTTTGCATTCATTAACTAATGTCAAAAGACCATAAGAAGAACACAAATATCAAATGCCAATTACTGTTAAAGACAAAATTCTTGATATACTGTTTGGAGACACAACTGTTAATTTTTTAATATTTACTATTGAATATAAATTATTATAAGTTTTCTCCAAAAGGCGTAAAATTAATTTGAACAGATGGAATTAATGAACACAAGTACCTGAGTTTCACGTTCAACATTGTTGTCTAGATGTGTAAAAGAGAACCTCTGATATCGTTCAAGGGTTTTGGTAATGCTGAAAATTAAATGAAAATGGTTAAGAGTCCAAAACAACCTCCTTTAGACGTATGGTATAGCTCTATGCTATGGTATAAAACACATAATATTAATGTTTCATATCAGCAAATATGTGCATTAAAAAATTTGAAAAAGAAAAAGCAATGATCACAACTGCAAAAGGTGAGTTTTTTTTTCGGTGATGAGGTAGAGAGAGATACCCAGAACCAGCACTTGCAAATTGAGTGAGTTTGCCACGACTTGAGAAAATGATAAGAGCAACCTCAGCATCACACAGTACTGAGAGTTCACGAGCTTTCTTCACCAAACCATTCTTTCTTTTAGAGAATGTAACTTGCCGGTTTATTTTGTTCTCTATCTTCTTCAGCTCAACCTTCCCTCTACCCATTCAAACTTTTTTTTCTCTGTCGAGCTAGATTAAGATTATAGGGTCACACTCATATATATAAGTATAGAGAGTAATAGAATGCAAAGTAATTGCTGTGGTATAACACAAACATGCACATTTAAGGGGTCTTATAATGATGTCGTTCTCTTCTACAATTTTAATTTTAGCATTCACACCGCAAAGTGGGTGCACCACACCCATGTGGAGAAGTAATTTTGGCAATGCACTAACCGCTACCTGCTCATACACTTTACTACTTTAGTCCATAATGGGTAACACACAAATCACTCTGATTCCAGAATCATTGTTTTCAGAACCATATGTATGCTGAAATTTTGAAGGGTCTCTCTGTATTATTCTATAGAATAGGTAAGTTCTTATGAAGTTAAAATGTCATATTAATTTTTTATAAATAAAATTTTATTGATCTTCCTAAAATAAAACTATTTATCTCATGAAGCAACTCACACAAACTCAATTTTAAAATCAAGATTTAACCAAATTTTTAATCTTAAAAGTCAATAATAACAAATTTGTATAAATTAATTTTTGCTAAGTTCAAATTAATTTATACAAATTTGTTATTATTGACTTTTAAGATTACTTATAAGTAACTATAAACAACATTTTTATTAAAAAAATTAAATTTATTATATGTTTAATAACAATTCTAGTTTTTAAAAGTTAATATTTTATTGTAATTTTAATCAAGATGAATGAAATTTTTTTATTTATATTTTATTTAAGTATTTAAAAAAATTACTCTTTATTTTATATATAAAGAAATCAATAGAGCAAAAGTGGTGCTTTTATACCTTAGACTCAACCAATTAGTGTTGACCTTGAGCAAGGAAAAGAAAAGGCACAGAAAGCAATCGGAAGTTCTCTACTTTCAGAACAATACACGTTTACAATGTGATGGGGTTCTCTCTTTGAATTAGGGCTTTTTTATATGCAAAACCAGAATCAAGCATGTATCATTTTCACCAACTATCCATTGGTATAGATGTGCATAGCATATCCATGCATAGTTATATAATATTATATTTTATAATTTTAAATGTATTTTTACTAATTTCTTATTTTTGCTCATCCCTGACAAACTTGCAAAAATGTTATCTCTATGTAACGATCGATGTCAATGCAATGAAAAAATTCTAGTTAAAAGGTATTTTCTTGCACAAATCTCACTTATTAAAAGTACAAGTGTGCAAACCCAACAAGACCTACTCCTCAAAGCCCAAAAATTTATAATAAAATAATAATATAAATTCACATGTAATAAAAAATTATTAAATGAACATCTAATTAAATTATGTTTACAAACTTACCGTAATCAATTTTGGCTGGATCTCACGCCAACTAGCTTTTTGGTGGCATTGATAGGGTTTACTAGGCCTCTATAGGTTTACTAGACATCTTGTTGCTCATAATGCCTACATTCATAATGTTACCTTCAATAATAATGCAAGCTTATATAATGATCAACGAAAAGTGGGTAAAAATAGATGAAATTTTGTATTAATCTTTTTATTTACATAAAATTTATTTTCAAATAGTAATAAACTTACCTCACTTATCCCCATTGTAACTTGTGAGTATTTATTTAACTGACTTTTGGGCAATAATTAATAACTCATTTAATTCAACAATTATTCACTTTCGATTTTCAGATAAAGATTATGAATCATAAATAACTTTTCAATAAACATCTTATGAACTATATATTATGACAATTTCAAGATTTTCGATGAATGAAAAAGTAATAAAGATTATGAACTATATAAATCATAAATTCTGAAGAATTCAATTTGTTATATGTTATCTTCCAGCACAACTTTTCAGATAAATTCTATTTATCGAGGTAACTTAAAACAATTGTCAATAAGGACAAAACTATTAATATTTTTTTTCTATTAATTGATATTTTTATAGTAAATAATTTGAGTCATGCTTAATGAATTAAAATTGAAATATTTTACTACAGTAAAAAAAAATTGAAACAGGTTACATCAGAAAAGCTATATTCAAATATTTTTGTTTTGAGACGTATCAGCTAAGTCAAGGAATTAGAAAACAACGGGGTAGTTGTTACTCTTTTGGACTGGTTATTGCGTCACGAACTATACAAACTATTTCTTTGTTGATGGAAGGGTAGCGATTAAGAACTCTTTTAGCTCAAAATCATATTTAGAGTTTAGGATTATTGTGAATTACGATGCGTGCTGCTGTAATTAATTGAATTGCGCGCATGATATCTTAGTACATAATTAAAATAATAATTTTATTAATCTCCGTTCTTAACGAGTTCAAGTATATAATATAATTATAATAATAATTATTATTATTAAATACTTAAACTTAAATAATAGAAAAATGTTTAAATAATATTACTTAAGTAAAATTTTAAGTTTGAGTTTTCATGTATGTAAAAAGTATTCAGCAATAAACTTCAGATTAAATTTACATTAAATCGTTTAAGAAATAAAAAAATAGTAAAAGATTTAACCATATTGATCAAATATACTTAGCAATTATCAAGTATCAAATTATGATGAGGGTAAATTAGTAATATATTTTAATAATTTTTTCAATTTTTTTACCAGTAATTAGTATTTTTTTAAAAAATTAAAGATTTTTTAAGGCGTATTTTAAGAATATTAGTTAAGAAAAAATTAGTAATTTTTGTCAAATAATTTATTTTTAATTATTTTTAATATATCAAATTATGTGTTTTTATTTTATTATTATTTAATTTTTTAATTAATATTTTAAAAATACTTGTTAGGAAAATAATTAAATAAAAATTTAAAAAATATTTTATTTTAATCTTATACGTGAAAATTTTTTAGTCATAGATCAAATCAGCTTTCAAAGTTTTTCTATAATAACAAACTGTATTACAGCAACTTGTTGAGATTAGATTTGGACAATTTGGTGGTAAATCTGGCATTCAGCCGACAAGGATTTAATTATATTATAGTCCCATCTTTGATATAATTTTTATCATTAACATTTGATTTGATAAAGAGGTTCAACAAATTAAAGTGCTCGATCCTAAAAACATTGTTGAAATTAGAAGGAAAAGAAAAAAGCAACACACAACTTTAAATTTAAATATCAATTACAAAAATTATCTAATGGGAAATAACAATTCTTCTGTGATAATTAAAATATATAAATAAAAAATAACAAAAGTATAAAATATTATTATTATTATATAAAAAATTGAGGTTAATTAAGTTTGAGAACTTAAATTTTGGCCTGTTGATTTACGAGATAGTTATTTATTGTTTTTAAATTACTCGATCATAAAATAAAATTAAGAAAACGTTTAAATAAGAGGAAAGCGAGTAGCAAGGGACAGAAAGAAACAGGGTGTGAGAAAGCGAGTTGCAAAGGAAAAATTGACGCAAAAATTCCAGCCAAACAGAGGAGAAAGGGAAAGCATACAAAAATTACACATAACAACACTACACTTTCCTCTCTCTCTCTCTCTCTCTCTCTTTGTGTGGTGCAATGGTGTCAATGGATTTAGAATAGCATTACGCTGTCTTAAACCCTTACTTGACTCACACTTCGATTCAGATCCCGTTGTTGAGTTATGGCAACCAACAACAGAAGCAAGGGATCTCGTTTCCCTCTTCTGTCTTTCGTTCTTATTTGCCTTCTCGCGCCTCTCATTTTCTTCTTTTCAACATCTCTTCGCATTTATTCTGGTTCATTCTCTCTCTCATTTAAACTTTTTTTTTTTTTATGATTTACTGTGTTATTTCTCAAATGTTGCATGTTTTGCAGATCCTTCAATGAAAATAGAAACATTGGTTTATTTTTAATTTTTGCTTCTTTTTTTCCCCTGTAATAAACTATATCAGTATCTATAAAGGTGTAAAATAATGCGGAGCTTTTTTTGTTGTGACTTAGATATGCTTGGGACATTACTGATGGAAAACGTAGTGTGTAAAATTGAAATCAGATTTGAAGTGTGTAATTTTTGTCCCGTACAAAAGTTATAGTTGTTGATGTGTTGAATTCTCATTTTTGTTTGTTAGAGACTTCCAAATTGTGAAAAATTATATGCGGTAGAATGTTCTTGACAAGAGAAATAAAAAATAGGAGAAAATATTGTGATTAATGTTCTTTTGAATTTTTCTTATATGTGCATATAAATTAGTTTATTTACTTCAAATACATTGTGCAGATCGGGACTATAATTCAGGTGATACGAGCAAACAGGTAGCCTGTTTTGTACATTTTCAGATTTATTAGTTATATTAACTTACACATACAGCTTATAGCTGTTTGTAGATGGTTGTTTTAATGTCGGTGACTGTTGCAGGGTTCCAAATTGAGAGAATGGCAAGCATTGCAAGACCTTAAATTGCTTTTTTCAAAAGAGGCAAGCGGAGGCTTATATTTACTCTTGTTTTGTTCTCATAATATTTTTACGTAAGAGTTCATTCACTTCTTGGATTTCTAATAACTATTATAATTTAGGTTCTTGATGTTATTGAGTCCAGCACAAATGATGTGGGGCCTTTGAGTCTTGAGAATTTCAGAAAAAATAACCTGTCTGCTTCATGGAGAGTTGTTGGGTTAAGGACTTCAAATGCTACTCATCAGGTTTGGAAGACTGATGATGTGCTTCTGCTTGAATTGAAACTGTCATTTCCTGTATCAGAAGAAAAAAGTGCATTCTATTGCTTCTTTATGATAATCTATTTTTATTTTTAATTATAGCTAAACCAACCAGCAAACCATGTTAGACAAGAGAAGCAAAAGGGGAAGGGAGACAGATTTTCAGGTAGTATCATGCTATCAGGTAATGTGCCTATGTTGTATTGTAGTTTGCTTTCTCATTCAATATTTTTTTATGAATGCAGTTGGTCGTGCTCAGTGGACTGATAGTCCTGCACAACTTGCCAGAAGGGTGAGCATCATTGATCATTCTTTGATTTAACTTGCTTACAACTTGTTTGGAAACCATTTACCAATTTAAGTGGGGTTAGGTGTTTTTAGTCTTACTATAAATAAGCTAAATTTGATTCTTGTCCTTCAAAAAAAATTTATTTGTTTTGATGCTCATAAAATTTAACAATAGTGTTATTACCACTTATTGATGGAATGACATGCATTTAGACATGTCACCTCAAAATAATTGCTAATGTGACATGATTACATGCATGCCATGTTACCACTAAGTGATGATGGGAACCATGTTAAAAAATTGTGTGGACCAAAACAAACAATTTTTTTTTTGGGGGACTACAACTAAATTTAGTTATATTTATAGGAACTAAAAACATATTTACGCTAATATAAGTATCTACTTGGGATAGCCTGCCACACCTCATAACTTGGTGGTCGCAGTGGCTGTTATGAAAACAGCCTCAGCTAACACACACACACATATATATATGGCCTGTTTGTTTTAGTAATGCAACAGAGTTACTTTCAGTGAATGGAGCTTTGGGAATGGTGTAACTCCATTTGATGAGAAAAACAAACAGGCTTATAACCCTTATCAAACCCCAACCTGTGGTGATGGTAGCCTTACACACTAGGCTCTCTTATGATACCCCACATAGGCTTTAGAATATGATTAGAATACTTATTATAAGACAAGCAATCTTTTTAAAAAAAGCTAGCTTTTGAGAGTGAGTTAGACCCAAAACATTTTTAATACTATTTGTTAATTGTTACTACCAGCTGAATAAAAGTTGTCCCCGAATATATTTTGACAAATTTTTGTCCATACTTATAATATAAATATTATCTCATTAAATTTATACTAAAGTAATTTAATGCTATCCTAATAATGCTCATACAAAAAAACTATCTTAATAATTCATTCTTATAACTTGTGGCTGATGATTCCTAAACACAAAGCTTATTCATCTTCCAAGTATTCTTCCAAAATACTTTTGACTCAAAAGCAACTGTCCACCAATTATCCTAAAATTTGTATAAACTTCAATGTTGTTTGACCTGTAGAGTGAGAATTTGTTTTGGAAACAACCAAAAAAAATTATGGAAATAAACATTCTTTTGTTCTTTGTAAATATTTTCTGTAGCAATTAATAGAGAAAAGGAAAGAAAAGCGTGCTGCTGAGCTGAAAAAACAGGATGATGATGTAACTGTAAAACTTGAAGATTCAGCTATTGAACACTCAAAATCAGTTGATTCAGCAGTTCTTGGTAAATACAACATTTGGAGGAAAGAAAATGAGAATGAAAATGCTGATAATACAGTACGGTTGATGCGAGACCAAATCATTATGGCTAGGGTATACTTGAGTATTGCCAAGATGAAGAACAAGCTTCAACTGTACCAAGAACTGCAATCTCAGCTTAAAGAGAGTCAACGTGCACTAGGTGAGGTAACTTCTGATGCTGACCTACATCACAGGTATGAAGCTATGTTCTATTTTCTCTAAAGTGTATATCTATCTACCTTTACCAACTTTACTAATCAAATATTTAACTATCTGTAGTGATCATGAAAAAATCAAAGTTATGGGCCAGGTTCTTTCTAAAGCAAAAGAGCAATTGTATGATTGCAAGTTGGTTACAGGGAAATTGAGGGCAATGCTACAAACAGCAGATGAGCAAGTTAGGGGCTTGAAGAAACAAAGCACATTCCTTAGTCAGCTGGCTGCCAAGACTATACCAAATGGAATTCACTGCTTATCAATGCGCCTTACCATAGATTACTACCTCCTTCCTCCTGAACAGAGAAAGTTCCCGAGAAGTGAGAATTTGGAGAATCCTAGTCTTTTTCATTATGCCCTGTTCTCAGACAATGTCTTGGCTGCATCTGTTGTCGTCAATTCAACTATTGTGAATGCAAAGGTGACTTGGACCATCTTTTACCATATCAATGCTTGTGCACATGTCTCTATCAAGTGAATTTTTTGTTATCAATGATTAATAATTTGAGGTTGCACTGTATGATCCACACATATTTTGCTTGTTTAGTACATCCCTGACTCGCTAAATAATATAATTAAAACCTGCTCTTTATTAAGTTTTTGTGTTTGACATTGCAGGATCCTTCAAAGCACGTGTTTCATCTTGTTACTGATAAACTAAATTTTGGAGCCATGAACATGTGGTTTTTGTTGAATCCTCCTGGAAAAGCTACAATCTTTGTTGAAAATGTTGATGAATTTAAGTGGTTGAACTCATCATACTGCCCAGTTTTGAAGCAGCTTGAATCTGCAACAATGAAAGAGTATTATTTCAAGGCAGGGCATCCCACCAATTCTGGAGCTTCTAATCTGAAGTACAGGAATCCAAAATATCTGTCAATGCTCAACCACCTGAGATTCTATCTCCCACAAGTTTATCCAAAATTGGATAAGATTCTTTTTCTCGACGATGACATTGTTGTTCAAAAGGATTTGACTGGATTATGGGCCGTGAATCTTAATGGAAAAGTAAATGGTGCAGTTGAAACATGTGGTGAGAGCTTTCACCGATTTGACAAGTATCTTAACTTCTCAAATCCACATATTGCAAAAAATTTTGATCCAAATGCTTGTGGTTGGGCATATGGGATGAACATGTTTGATTTGAAGGAGTGGAAAAAGAAGGACATCACTGGTATATATCACAGGTGGCAGAATTTGGTAAGCAGTTGAACATAAACATTTGTTTATATCATGTGTCTATTCTTACATAGATATGTGATCAAAACTGGATTGAACGCCTCTAAAGTGAGGGGTAAAGTTTAGAGGATAAAGTGCAGAGTCATAACCATTATTTGGAAACTCAACAGTTGTAATTTTAACCACTTCATAGTTTGTTATATATTTTTATGCATTTTACACAGTATCAATCGTTGATATTATATTAAACAATAATAACCTTCACTTAATGTTCTATTAAGTGAGACACTTTAGAGGAGTCAAATCCACTATAAATGATCCCTTACTGACCATTTTTTCCTGTTTGATTCCAGAATGAAGACAGGGTTCTGTGGAAACTGGGGACATTACCTCCAGGGCTAATGACATTCTATGGATTAACACATCCACTAAATAAATCATGGCATGTACTTGGTCTAGGTTACAATCCAAGTGTGGATCGTTCAGAGATTGAGAATGCAGCAGTCATTCACTACAATGGTAACATGAAGCCATGGTTAGAGATAGCCATGACAAAGTATCGGTCTTACTGGACCAAATATGTCAAGTTTAATCATCCTCATCTACGGAATTGTAAGCTGCATGAGTGATCATGACAACTAGGTCCTAAGAACAGAGAGCACTCTTTTTCTGCACTATACCCTCCCTCTCTCCTTTGTAGCTCGGATTATCAAGTGAAGGTACTATTCTGGTATGATCAATTGTCTGAGTGATAGGGTCAATGCTTGTTTTGTAGCTACCCCTACATCATCTCTCTCCCACATCATTGATTTTTGCTTTCAATTCATTTTATTTGTTTACACCACCCTCACTGATTTGAAACAAGGTACATAAGTAGTATACCTTGTTTACTATTATAAAATCCCTTCATTGTACAATACTCTGATACTAAGACTGGACTAGAAATAGAATAACAATTTTTATGTATTCTTTCGAAAATTGCTTTCTTGTTCAGATTCGATAACCTATTTGCATATTGTATTGAATTTCGTGTGATAAAATGCCAAGTATTGTTCTCACAATATTCGTGCAATTATCAAACGATGATAATTTAAATTATCGAAGTTAATGACTAAAAACTAAAGTAAATTAAGCAAATTGAAATTAAGTCTTTGGTTTTTTAAAAGTTAAAAAGTGTATGTACTTATTAATAAACTAACACGATTTTTAATGTAGATATGTAATTCGGATACATATTTTAATTATGTATAACGATTTAAAATTAATTGAACCCATTCTAAACCGAATGGACACCAAATAAGCAATAATAAAATAGTTTAATAGACGAACTTCAATTAATCGAACTTAGGTCACGGGCCTTCGTTGTTCCCTAAGTCCTGATTTGGCCGTTCAGTCTCCTCACCTAAAGCTTCAAATTAGTTTTCTTTAAATTTTGGTTACAAACGCATGAACTGCAATCTTTCTGCATTGATCATCTTGTTATGGGTCATATGATTCAAAATTCAACTGCAAATTTCATGTAATAAAATATACAAGTTTTCTTGTGATTTTAAAATTAATATTTACATTAACTCACTTGTGTTATTCAATTAAAAATATAAGTAAACATTTACACAAATGCAAGTTAACTAAAATTTTAATATACGTGATTATCAAAATAATATTACAAAATTTAATAATTAAATAAATAAAATTTACTATTTATAAAAATTATTAAATTATTTATCTATACTTATATGTGTTTTCTCTCATATACATATTTTTCACACACACGCCATGTACAATTTACTAATTTGATCATATAATTATATATAAATTATAAAAATTAATTTACTAAATTATTCATTTAAATTTATGACTAAAATTAACTTGTCACACTCTTTTGTATGTAAAAACTAAATCTTAATTTTATAATTATACATGAATTTTCTAAAACAAGTTATATATTTATTTTAACTAAAGACTAATAATTTCTCTCACCTTTTATTGCATGGGTATCTCTCACCCCCCCTTTTTTTTTAGAATCAACATGTATTTCGTTTATGTCCAAGAGAATAACAAGCCCCCTCCTTTAGAACATTCCATGCCTTTTCAAACATGAAATACAATAGAGTAGAGTGTAGTAACTTACAAGTACGAAGTAAACTATGGTTAAGAAATCTTATAAATTGGTCTTTATTGATAAATTATGTGACTAAATATAGAATTTCAAATAAAAATTACCTAGTTACAACAATAGTTTGTGAAACATAATTTTTTGTTTTTGAATCACCTTGATTTTCAATTAAATAAGAGAATTTTTTACAATACGTTTTATTACACATCCAGTGAAAGATAATTACAGAAAAGGATGGTAGTATGGTACAACTAAAACTAGAGTGATGTTTCTGCTATCATTGTTCAACTATTTGCATTAACAACAGCCTCAGATTATAGAAAACAAACAACAAAGGTAATATATATCTACTGTGAAAGCTTAAGCTAAACATTCAAGGTCACTTCATGACTCTTGCAGTGTCCATGCAGTAACTGCTACAGAGGCTTAGCACCACCACCAGTCTCCTCCACATTATTGACAGGAGTAGATGAACCACTCCTTCTGGATACACCTTGCCCTGTGATTGTCCTTCCCATAAACCTTCCTGCTTTGCTTAGTCCACTACCAACAGCACCAAGACCACTGCCAACAAGACCAACTCCAGTACCAATGCCACTGCCAACAAGCCCAGCTCCAGCACCAATTCCACTTCCCACTAGTCCAGCACCAGCAACAACACCAGTGCCAACCATTCCAACACCAGACCCAACTACCGATGCCGCTCCATCTAGTGCATCCATTGTACTTCCTATAACTCCCGCTTCTTTAAGTTTCTTCCTTTCTTCTAGTATCCTTTTCTCTGCTTCTAGTGCAGCCAACTGTTCTTCCTTGTCAAATTGATGATAAAAGACCTGAAATTCCAAAGAGGTTATAAACTTCAATGAAGTGAACATAGGAAGGGTCTAAAATATGCCAATAGTACGATCAGAAAAACTGGAGGGAAATACAGAGGGAGAAAAAAACCTCATTCTTACTCAGTTTTCATCTATATATATATCAAGGATAGCCCCAGAAATTTTGTAATGATGTCATCCCCAAATACAAATAAATCAATGCATGTCTATGTATACCTTTATTGTCAAGGTTCCTCGATCCTTCTTGTCTTTCACTTTCAGAGTATCAAGCGATGACAGCAGCCTCAATTCAACCTCCTTTTCAGTTTCTGCTTCCAGGTCAATAAGTGGTAATTTTGCTATTCCCAACCGCTTATCTTGCCCAATGTCTTTATCATAAACCTATTTGCAGAGCCATGAATGAAAATCATTTATGATAATTTTATTAAATAAACCATGGCACCAAAACAACTTACGAAGAACTGTGCAGTTAGAAGGAGAAAATTCAAAGATTTCAAACCAAGATATTGACAGCTGTAGGTCTTCCGTGACATATTAATAAACCTTCAGGGGGAGAAGATAAAGTACCAACTATGGTCCAGATTGCTTAAAGGAATCTAACATAAAATTTCTAAGAACTCATCACAAAAGAAACCTGCCATATCAGCAAGTAGACAGTTTATGATTCAGAAAATTTTATTAGGGGGAGCAAAATATCACTAATACAAAAACAACGGCTTTTCTCACTTGGTAGAGTTGTTCAATGTGTTACGTCAGAAACCTTGTTAGAAGAGACCAATTAGGTGCAAGTCCTTTTTATGGTTTCAATTAGAATTTTTCTTGGTCTTATTCCTACCCCTAACTATCAGGCTATCCTACCTCAAATCAATTTCTCATACTGGGGCATCTATAAGTCTTCTAACATGGTCCAACCTTCACAATTGCAATTCTACCAGTTTTCCTTCATAACCATAGGTGCTACTCCTACTTTCTAATATATTCATTCCTGATCTTATATTTTCCTGTATGTGCACTCATTCTTTATGACACTTTGGCAGCGTGTGCACTTTATTGCCCAACATTCAGTTTCATAAAGCGTTGCTAGTAGCTGTAAAACTTTCCTTTAAGCCTAAGCAGCACTTTTCAATAACAAATTAAACATCCCTTCATCTCATTCACCTAGCATGAATCATCTCCCTTGACCTCTTCATCATTTTATATGACATGTAAATTGTTAACATTGCAATCAGGTGGTATTGGCATCAGCTTGCAATCGACTCAACTAATATTAAAATAACTAACGATCACTACAGAATACACGTAACAAATAAAATGGTACTGCATTGTAGAAAGTAGTTATTCATACAAAAATCAAAATTTTGCATATTTGCTTGAAATAATCTCTCCACAACATGATATCCACACTTTCTATTACAATTTTATTATCAACTGTTATTGGTAGTGAATACTTTTGGGAAATAAATTTTGTCCACTATTATTCTTACAAAGTAATTGTATAAACTATAAAATAAACCCTACACATGATAATATGATGTTTGAATGTTAATTTTGAAAAACTTATGTTACTACTAGTTGAATCAATAGCACTTGAACAGACTAATTTGGGGCACCTTTCATGTTCATATATTGTGAGTACTTAGTAATGAGGGAGAATGAAATAGCACAAAAGTATAATAGAATATGTAAAACCTCGAGAATGAGTGATTGGGTCTCCTTGTCCTCTGCAATCATTTCAAATATCTCATTCCAAACAGGGTTCAAGTTGTTATCAATCACCTTCGTTTTAACCTTAAACAGTGGTCGAATATAGACAACTACATAAGGATCAGACTTCCCAATCATTTCCATATTCTTTAAATCATTTGCTTTCAGGACATTCACTGTTAGCCTTCCCTGGGGTTTAAGCTCCAGTTCACTGCAAAAAACAAAAGTGCTAAATAGCAGAGTAAAATATTTGAGCATTGACATTGAAATTGGTATATTCCCACATTTCGATTAGCTTTTCTTTTGCAAGGTGGCAGAGGAAACAGAAAATGAAACAGAACCACTTTTCTAGAGGAATACTTCCTCCACAACTTCAAACAATTTGAAAAATTGTTTATCCGATATATTAATAAACCACATGCTTTGTTTTGCATACAGAAAGAAATATAACATAACAGACAGAAACTTCCATAAGATCACGTTACCTAGTATCAACAGGTATACCGCCAAGAGGAACAACAATCCTATGAGGCCATTGGAGCATATCAGTAACAATTGTTTTCACAGTATCCTATGAAATGTTGGGGAAAAAAAAGAGTGGATTATAAGCATTAATTCAAAATCAGTAAAAGGGAAAAGAGGGAAAATTCATAAAGTAGAACTCACATCAATCATATCAGAAATTCCAGGCAGTGCCGTCAAACTTCCACCAATAGCCTTCAGAGTGTAATCAATTCTAGGCTGGGGCTGGTTAAACGTTAACAGAAAAGTCAGTAATTCCAAAACTGAAAATTAATATTAACATCTGAAGTTACTATCTTGCAGTAAGTGCTGCATACAAAAGTAATTCATGAATTCAATTAAAATATTGACTAAGGTGGAGTGAATAGAACATAAATTATAAACAATCATGTCCAAGTCCACTTATTTACAATCTGGGCATTGTACTAATGATGGTGGTCCTACAATTGTCACACTATGATAAATTGGGAAAACCACTTAAGTTGATGGTAGCCCTTCCTTTTCTGGAATTTTGTTTAACCAACAATACATGAACTTCTAACAGAAAACTAAGTAACTAATGCCACACCTTCAAATGACAACATGCATATCCAACTGCTCAAGTTAATAATCTACCCAATGCTTTTAGCTTGATTTGCACAATGCATACCACAACAGGGTTTGCACAAATGAAACCAGAAATGGGATATTGTGAAACTCAAGTCCATCAACCCCCCCCCCCCCCTCCCTCTCTCCCCCCTCTGAAAAGTTACCTCAGCAAGTAGGGCAACAACAACAGCAGAAATGCAGGGGATCTCTTCTGCAAGCTGGAATATAACACGAATAATGCTGAAAACCTGGAGATCCTTCAACTGAAGCAGAAAACAGTGAAGAGCAATTTAATATATATATATATATATATATATATAGGAATGTGAAAATCAACACAGAGAAACACTGCTGAGTCTAACCTGAATAGGAATTGATGCAACAAGGGCAGCTTCAACACCTAAAACAATATTGGGATCACCACCCCAACGGAAATCAATGTCCATTATGATTTGACCTTGGTTAAGACTCTGAACACGAATGCCTGCATGGACGAAGCAATATGAATGGATTAATAAATGATATGAAAGAATGATTCAACAGAAGAATTTACAAAGGGAGAAACAATAAGGATGGTAAAAAATTGTATCTCATAACATTTTGTTTTGCATTACTGAAAATTATTGACATGCATAAGTCAAACATATGAGTAACAAATTCATCCATGGTGCTCTCATTTTCATATTTTTATAGTTTCAAAAAACACTATTCTTACAAGGCCTATGTTTCACATGACAGACCTAATGTCCTAAAATAATTTGATTTATCCTAAAGCCACACACAACACCAGATCATATTTATCCATTTCATGTCAGTAACTTTGATTCAAGACATGTTAAATCCTGAAAATCTCACAATCATTGTTCTCCCTGATTTTGAAATGATATAATAGGACTGTATTGCTTTTAGATATAAAGTCTGGTTAGCTGTGCCTGGAACACAGATCTGAACACAGCTTAGTGCTTACCAGTCGCTTGCAAGAGCATGAAGAGAAGTCTATAACGACCAACAAGGGCAAAGAAGAGTTGATAGTCAGAAGGTGTTTGTTCAGAAAAGACAGGTTCCTTCATATTATGTGGGCTGTAATTGATGATGGGAATTCTCTTTTTTACTCATGGAAGTTTTGGTTGTAGTTGTGCATTGGTTTTAGTTCATGTTTTATGTTTGCATGGATTCCTCTGCAAAACTTTAAAATAAATACTATAATTTTATCTTCAGTTATTAATATATTTAAGATGGAAGAGTGGTTAAACAAAAAAGGATAATAGAAGAAAAGACCGCATACAAGAGAATACTATAGTAGTACCTATTGTGAAAAAAATGACAAAAAATTAACTAAAGTAGTTCAGATATGTGCAAAGAAGGCCACTAAAGGCACCCGTGAAAAGAGTGGATGACGAAACTTTTAATTCAGTGAAAAGGGATAAAGAGAGACATAGAAAAACTTTGAAAGAAGATATTGAAGGGAACTTATGGTAAATAATATCTCAGAATTTGGTTTTTCACCAAACTTAATGGCATCATGTGATCCATGTCGTCAACCTAATCTAATAGAATAAGGCTCAGTTGTTATTATTATATTTCAATAAAAAAATATATCAAAACAAAAAATGTACTTCAGACAGAAGAATCTTAACAAGAGAGAGAGAGGAAAACAATAAGTCAAAGTGGCTCAAAAATGCACCAAAACTGTCCAATCTCTTTGAATATTAGTTAGAAAATTTACTTTAAACAACCATGAGAGCACAGGGAAAGCTGCAAATAACTATAATCCCATAGCATAGAAAGGCCAAAGGTACAAATTAGAAAATAAAGGCACTCCTCTTTGACCAATTGAGATACATAAGAAAGAAAAGGATAAGAGATGAAAAGCATTGTGCATAACAATTGGACGCATAAAAATTATACACTGATATTGTCGGATGCTAAATTTTGCCACCTTAAAATGTTAATACTAAGAAATAACAAACAAAAGATTATGGTAGCCCACCCCCGCCTTCCAGGCCAAGATCAACAGTTTGTCAAATGGCATAAACAGGGAAAATATAAAAAAAAAATTGGACATAAAAAATTTGGATAGCCTGCTTCTGGAAAAAGTTCCAATTTTTGTTACATATGAAAAGAAATAATGTCAAAATAGACTGACAGATCAACCTCATGAATTTATACACTCCTTTAGTGCAGTAGTAAATTTAATGAGGAAAAGAATGAAGAGGGGAATTACAGTTGATTACCTTCAATTTTTGGAGCAACAGTTCCAAGGGACAGTTTGCTGAACTTCAATGAAGTAATTCCAGGAGGTCTATACTCTTCCAATAGTGGCTCAACAGATTCTCTTATCACCAATGTTGCTGCCTAAAAGTAAACAAAATTCAAATCAAGATAAAGTCAGCAATTTATGCAATGCAGGAATGCTGCTCTGAAACAAAGCTGCAAGAAAACCAAAATAGGTAGGTCTCCAAGAGCCTAAGGAAAGCAAGAAGCACACTGCAAAGATCATCCCCACGCTTCCTATTTTTGGGGATAAACTATGTATATTGGAGACACCAAACAAACCTAGCCCATATATTAGCAATGCATAGATAAGCTTCATTCACAGACATACTGAATCTGAAGCATGATACATTCAAGACAAAAAAGGTAATGTCCAAAATGAAAATATCACTCATTAAAATAAAACATCACCCATATTTACTGTAAAATACACTAAAGTCAACTGCATAACATAGGCAAACAACTTCACGTGATAACATGATTAGCATCTAATAATGTGAAGATGTAGATACAAAACTAACTAAACACCAAAGGACATCCAGTTTTTATGGTTTTGATTTTTTTCGTTTCTATAGCATATTCATTCTTCTGTATGAAGAATTCTCAAATTAGTCTCTCCCCATAATCATCAGATCCAATATACTCTTTTATCATCTAAATTGCATAATTGAGGAGTTAGAAGCAATATAATGCCATACTACCATAATAAATAATCTACTCATAATCGTGAATAAAACATATCCTGTTAAAATACATACTACGGAAACAAGGGACACATCAAGATCTAACCTAGAAAATAAATAGTCATAATCAATGAACAACACCACAACAACTGTTGTAGATTATTATACAAACATATAACATGCATGCAAGTTTACTCACATCTGCCACAAAAGGCCAAAGTTTGGACAGCTGCTTGTTTAGCCATTTCACCTGAAAAAGCCCAAGAAAGGGAGGTCATACACACAGAATGCACAGTACATCAACTGAGAAACAAGAGATGGAGTTCCTAAATTTGGACTTTGCAGCTGCATTTGATGTTTACTAATAATATATACTGGATTAACAGGAATAATGGGAGAATTGTGTAGAAAGCTAAGTAATAACAATCAAAGGTGAGAATCTCACCTGCTCATATACAGGAAAAGATATCCATTCAGGAAAATTATCTCCGCAAATTTTCTTTAAATCATCTCTGTTAAGGGACCCAAGGAGTTTAATGTCAACTGCCTGCAGAGACAAAAGAAGAACGCTAGATAGGGGAAAATATCTATATGCACAGATTAAAACACATATTTTTTGTTAACTATAAATGTGCTCAGCCCAGACAAGACGGGCCTTTGAGAAGATATTTTTGTTAGGTCTGTACTATTCATCATAATATGACTCCTAATTTATGATGCCTTCCTTTTTAAATTTTCCTTTTTATCTCCCTATTTTCTTATCTTCTTCCAGTACTATCGTTTAATCAGTACAGAATCCAGGATCAAGACCCCATGCTGATGTCCACAGGCACAGGAGAAGTGACTGGGTTGTGATGCTAATATATAAATTATGTTAAACTTGTAACTAATTGCACATAGATAACAGTGTCAGATGTTATTTAACAAGCAACATTTCTCAATTCGAATTTTGCCATCATACTCCCCTGATAATAGAACACTGTGTACTGTAGTTTCACACATTTACATTTATGCACTTACAGAATTATCTTCATCAAACTGTGTTCCAAATTTACAAATTTCTCTCTTTACAATTTGTTTCTTTCTCATGACTCATTATTGATTAATTTACATCACTTTTAGGCCTTGTTTGGTTCATAGAACAGACAGAAATAGAAAGGGAATTGGAGGCGGATATGTTTGAATGCTACGTTGGCTCTGAAGGCTAGAAGGGAAAGCAAGGGTATCTGTTCTTTCCCCAGCACCGGAAACAGCAGAATAGCACTTTACTTCTTGTTAAAATTTGTCAACTTACCAATTTACCCAATTATCCAAAACTATTAACAACAACCAAGTCTATCCCACTAGGTAGAGTCAACTATATAAAAAGACAGGCATTGAAACCTTTGAAACCCTAACTATGCAACCTAGATAAAATGACATTCATTAGTCTTCACCAAGAAAATTATATCCCTGAATCTTTAACCTTTAACAGTTCCTCAGTCCTTTCACATTCAACCTGAACCTTAAAGACAGGCATTGACCAAAGAAAGATCTTTTGAATCATTCCTACACAACTTGTTCTCAAGACGTTTTAAGATTTAAAATCAGCAGCAGCAAATGTGAGTCTGTGTAAAGCAGAAACAGCTTTGGAATGAAGGTTTTCATTGTCTCAAGGACATGCAAGCTTGGAGTTGATCATTCAGATAACAGAAATTGGGAGGTTTATAAAGGTCTAAGGGCTCAATTCCTATAAAAGTTACCCTCTCTTCATTTAAGGCAGTGATTAATTGTATTTCTCTACAAGAAAATTTCAAGTCAGAGATACTTCTAATTTAATAGAGGACATCAATTCTGTAAATTGACAACGTATCTCCTCACTACTTTTAGCTAAACCAATTGCTTTACAAAAGCATACCCTGTCTATTGCCTTCCTTCCATATGATTCTATTTCACATCGATTATGCCTCTTCTATATGAATGACATCGTGCTTTATCATAACACTAAAAAAAGCACTACTAGGTTAGTATTACCTGTTTCAAGAACCTCTTAATGATCATCTAGTTTTCTTTCAAATATTCAAAGACTCACTCACTGATTACATCTAATTCATGGAGGAAATCCATTAATTGCCAAAACATTGATCATCGAAACCCAAATTCAAGACAAGCAGAACAAACCATCATACCTTTGCAATTCTCTTGGCGCTACGGTACCTGATCATGCGCTGCCACGCAGCCATCAATGCTATGCCGAATGCCATCCCTAGAAAAATCCCGGAAAACAAACCCATTTTTCCAGGTTTCAAACAGCCCTACCCTTTCAATATAGGAACTGCAAAACACACACACACAAGAATAAATAAATAAAAACACCATAAACAAAACAAACAAATCAAAACCACAGATACCCAAATAAAAAAAGCACACAAATTTAAGAAACAGAGGTGCAAAGCAACGCATTAATGAAGCAAAAATATAAACTTACTGTGAAATTTGAGAAAAAGATCAGTAAGGGTCAATTGGGATGAGAACTGAAACAGACACCAACAGGTGCTAGTAGTGAAGGGTTTTATTTCAGTTTTGTAAGTTATTGAAGACTCTCTTTCTCTCTCCTTACTCTATCTTTCTCTCTTTGTGTGCAACTGTAAACGTTTCAAAACAGTGATCTTTTACTTGTTAGTAACGTAAAATAGAGGGTTTGTGGTGGGTTCTTTGCTTCTGTTCTCCTCAAGAATGGAATGAAAACTGAAAAGTAATGTTAGGAGACAAACCACACTCGTTCAGCATCAATTAATCAACCTTGGATACTTTTATCCTCTCCCAGGTTGCATTTCTTGGATTTTTGCGCATTTCCACTTTTAGTTCTTTACAAGTTTCATTTTCCTGCATTAGTGAATTCAAAAAATATGTGCACCTTTTCGTTTTCCCCCATGTCCAAACAAAAGAAATAAATTTATCCGTTTACCTAAAACATCGTTAAAGTTTTTCGGGCTTTTTTATTTAATTAATACATTTTTAAAAAAAAAATTCAAAATATAATTATTTTTAAACTAATTTTCTGTCTGGACTTTTTTTTTCCAGGTCAGAGGTAATATCGGTCATGTACCAATGATAGTCTTTTTTTTTTATAATTTTTTATTACTCTATCGCCCACAAACATTCGACACTAAGGCATAATCTGACACGTAGATTTTTAAAACGGCAGAAAAAATAAAAAGAAAAACAAATATTAGTATCGGCCATTTTTTGACGATAACAATTTGAAATGGACGGTTGGAAATGAAGTTCGTCACGTGTCGAGATTGTACGTGTATCGGCTCTGACACAGCAACAAGGCTATCGTCGCATCTGGAGCGATACTCTTTGTGATGTTGACACGTGGCATATCGGGAACCGACGTCGCTCACGGCTTCTTCCCTTCCTCTTCCTCAGTTTTCTCCATTAACATCGGAACGCAAGGTGATTTTGAGCAGAATTTGTGAAGAAATAGGCTTTCATTTGCAATCTTGTGTGAAAAATTGGAAAGTAAGAATTAATTTATTTAATTGATAATATTTTTGTTGAGTTTCATTTAGAAAAGAATAATCAATTTGAATTTTAATTTTAGGATTTTCGTGTGATGAGGTGGAATAGAAATTTTTGTCGGCATTTGAGGTTATTGATGAATAGATAACATAGTTTGATGTATTTTTCCAAATATTTTTCAATTTTTAGTATGTTTTTTTGTATTTATTATGAATATTGTGAATATATGAATAGAAAAACATTGTACATTTGGCTGGAAACGTAAAATAAGGCAAAAATAATATATAGAAAATAATTTTTTGTATTTTTTTAAGCTATAATTTGTTTCTAAACTGTAAATTATAGATAAATTTTATTTTGTTGACTGTAATTAATATAGTTATTAATTTATGATGAAAAAGATTATATGTAGATGTTGTTTGATATTTAAAAAATATATGTATAAGTAGTGTAATTTTGTTATTAGTTGTAATATTATGTTGTAGAAAAAAAAATATAAATGTTATGATAATTAAAATATAAATCTAGTTAAATCCAGTTAAATCATAAAATATTAAATTAGACAATTAGTTATATTAATAAAGATAATAAGATAAATATATTATTAAGTAAAAAGTATGAAAAATTATATTATATTAGTTGTAATATTATGTTTAGGGAAAAAAAATATAAACGTTATCATAGTAAAAACATAAAGAAATATAAAAATTTAATTATATAAAATATAAAAATTTAATTATATCATAAAATATTAAATTTAAAATACACAATTAGTTATATTTATAAGATAACAAGATAATTAGATTTAGAAATAAAATTGTTATTAAGTAAAAAGTTTGAAAATCCTTTATATATTATTAGTTGTAATATTATGTTTAGGAAAAAAAATATAAATGTTATGATAGTTAAAATAAGAAAAATATATAAATTTAGTTGTGTATTTTAAAATTAATTTTAAAATACACAATTAGTTATTGGTAAAAGATAATAAGTATAACATGAAATGTTGCTGTTATTGGCTTGATGCATAATTATTAATTTGAAACTTTTCATTAAAATTTAATATATAGATATATGATAGAAATTTGTATACTGATATTTTATGTGAGACATAAAAATAAAATACATAATTATTGTGTTAGACCTGTTATATTATTATCAATTTTGAAAAAACCTTTAAAGGGTTATATAATTGGGATTATATATTTTTTCATTTTATATTCTATTTATATTCTGTTAAATTTAATTTAGAAATTGTATTAGTAGTAGTTTAACAAATTGTATACATGGATAATTGTTTTTAATGTGTTTATAATGATATTAATGTGTTTATAATGATATTTAATTAGTAATTTTTATTTTTATTTATTTAGATGGCTTCATCTTCATATCAAGGTATGATAATTAATCCTGAACCAGATGATCCATCTTTGTTGCGTTTTCAAAGTATACATGTCTATGAACACATTTGGGATGGGTGAGAGCATCCAATGTTGAAGGTTAGGAAGTCTCAATTCATACCAGCTGGCATAGACGGTGTTCCAGCAGAGATTGTACCTCATTTGGAGATGGTTGGCTTTGGTGGAGTTGCTCACCTTGCTAACTTTCCATTGGATAGAACTTTGATAACTGCATTGGTTGAAAGATGAAGACTTGAGACTCATACATTTCACATGCCACCAGAAGAGTGCACAATAACGCTTGAGGATATAGCCATCCAGACAAGTCTTCGGGTTCATGGGCTTCCAGTATTTACAGCTACCGGAGGTAATTGGCCGCAGATGTTGAGGACAGTCTAGTTATTAGACCACCACCGGAAGCTTTTGTGGGGAGTAGCTTCAAGCTTAGTTGGTTAGATCATCATTTCAGTCACATTGCCATGCATAATCATGACGAGGTTCAGCTTACGAGATTTGCTAGAGCCCATATTCTTAGACTCATTGGAGGGTTTATGCTAGCAGATCACTCTAGTAGCAGGGTGACAGTTCGTTACTTGTTGTTGCTTGAGGATTTTGCCATCACAGGGCAGTATAGCTGGGGAGGAGCAGCTCTCAGTTTTTTATACAGAGAGTTATGCATGGCAACAAACATTGATAGACATGTCATTGGAGGTTTAACTCCATTGCTGGTTATGTGGGCGTGGGATAGGTTCCCATGTTTGGCTCCCCCTAATCCTCCACATTTACGACATGACCTTCCTTATGGTGCCAGGTATGCATACTATATCATAAGTTTCGTAATCATTTTTCATACTTTCATTAATACTTTGGAGTATATTTATACGTTATAAATTTTGGTGGTGTTTAGGTGGTTAGTAAATGGGGTGCCTAGAAAAGAAAGATGTTGCATTTTATAGATATAAACTTGATCGTCTTAAGCGTGATGAAGTATGACTTTTAATTTTAATTTTAAACATTATTTGTTGAATTTGTTATTTTAAAAATATTTTTGAATTTTAAACATTATTCAATGTGCAGATCATATGGCAGCCTTATAGTCAACAGTTACTTTCTACATTGCGTCCAATTTGCTTAGAAGGGATGATGATTTGGAGGTCAATGGTGCCCCTTATTTGCATACAGATTTGTGAGTGGCACCAACCAGATCGTGTAATGCATCAGTTTGGGATGGTGCAACACATTCCTCGACTTCCTTACCAACCTGATGCATTACATGACATCACACTCAGAGGTAAGACTGGAGAGAATTGGAATGATAAGTTCAGACATGTCTTAGCATTATGGGAGAGGCGCTTGGATTGAGTTTTCAGCAACGACCCACAGATTGACTTATTAAGTTCCAATTCAAAGTACATGCGATGGTATTCTCGTCATACTAGAAGTTGGATGACGAGAGATGCAGCTATATTTTCATTAATGGTATGTATATCTGCCTAACAGTGCCTATAATTATCTTGTATTTTGTAAAGCAAGCATAATTTTATGTTTGTGTAGGGAGATGCACATGAGAGGGCATACTACTTGGCTAATGATGGCCAACAGTCATTCACTTTTGATGAGCTACGATCATTAGCTGAGACCATGTTGTCTTTACAGAGTGAACAAGCTCGGATCTTAGAACCGTCGCAAGGAGTTGAGCCACCTGTCCAAAGTGGACACACTGAGGAGCCACAAGTTGATATTGGACAGGCTGAGGGACGCAAAGAAGGGCGAGGTTTGCATTGACGGAGGAGACAGGTGCAAGCCGCCACATGGTCTATACCGCCTTTGCCAGTAAGACAAGATGGTGTGTATTTTGTCCCGTCACAGATGCCTTCCATTCCATCTCAGTCTACACAAGCTTCTTACTTTCATTCATCACAACCTACTAGACATTCTACATCTCCATTAAGTAATGCAGAAGACTATGTTCCTGACTTTTATCATTTTATGACCCCACCTCCGTATGATCCATTACTATTCACACCCTCTGCTCCAGGTCCAGTTACTGGGTCAGTAGGAGAGCCTTCTATGGTTTCTTTGGGGGATCAAGGCATTGATCTAAATGCCCAATTTAGAGCAGTTGCAAATCCTGACATAACCCTCACAGGGAGGCCAAAGATCGACCTCGTCATTGCATCCTCACACCACATGAGGACCATGACGACCAGGGCAGACAAGAGTGATATTAACATTCTATTTATATCTTTGGTTATTCTGTATTATGACTATGCGATGCTTTGATGAAACTTTATTAATATATCCATGTTCATTCGTATTACCAACTTGTGAGCACAACGTAACAAAAGACTAATACCATTAACAATAGTTAACAAGTGTTACAATACTTAAGCTGAAAACGTAACAAAATACAAAAATTTAAGTAATGCATTAACAATACGACTAAACTGTCATATAGGTTGATTATGCCTAGGACAATGGCGTTGGTTGTGACCAGTCTGTTTACATAAACGACATCGTTGACGTGGTTGAGACTCCACCCAATTCATTTCATTCCTAATACGCGTTGATTTTGGTTGACCTCTTCCCCTTGATCTTTGCTCGTCTGGTACTAGCTTCCATTCATTTAAAGTCAAAATATTATTGTCATTTCCAAGTGGCGACCAGTCAGATGAGTATGCATTAACAACTGATTGCATAGAATAAACGGGATCAACCCATTGCCAATAATCAATACTCACAAATGCACAAGCAGCTATGACATGTGAGCAGGGGTAGTGATACGCCTGAAACTTTCCACATTCACAAAATATATTGGATAAAATCACAGTCCACTTGTTACCACCGCGTTACGTGATAGGATTAAAAGCCTCTTCTACTTCAAACTTTGTTCTTTGTATGTCATATCGTCGAACTTGATAGGAAGAAACTTCCTGCTGATTTTTCTCCATTTGTTGCATTAACTTACGACAATATCTACTTCCATTATTAAGCTCTGTTGTT